CCACTGTTATTCTTCTCGGTCTCGGACCGATTTCACCTATGCCACGGGCACACACTCGCTGTAGCCTTGAGCTCAGCACCACGCTTCTGTTTTTTTTTTCTTGGCCTTGGGCCGAATTCAGCACACGGTGCTAAACAACACTTTTCCGAACCGCTCGACTGGTTCAAAATACGATTTCGGAATGTGATGGTTTTCGCGAGAGAAACACTCGAATGCGTCCGTCGTATACAATGTTCAGTTTATTTCTGTTGTTTGTTTCGTACAGTGCTGCCAGTTTAATTTAGAGAATAAAATATGATTATTTTTAGTGGCAAATATTAATTAAAGAGGTTTCGTTATCTCACAACCGTTCAGTTATGTTCATATCTCTGTCATGTTACGTCCAATTTTCGTTCTTTTTAGATCATTGATGATTTTTGGGGGTGTCCTTAAACTTATGATCGGTAGTGTAAATCAAATGGATAGGTGAAGTAGGCCTGAAGCATTGGCCTGCAAAAGTTTTTTTTTTGTAAAATATGTTCAATAAGTTGATTTTTAAGCGGGCTGTGGTCTACCACGTTACTGGCATTAAGATCTACCACCGAAGCCTGATCCGAACTACTTCAAACTACTGGAACATAATTGTTTTGTAATCAAAGGAACACATCTTAGTCCTTTTGACGTAGGACTACGTCTGTGATTTCTATACGGGGGTACACTTTGTGAAAACCGAAAATGGAACATGTAACGAAATTATGAAAGATTTTGAACGTTAATAACTCAGCTGCCCCTGGACCAATTTGAATAATTTTATCACCACTCGATCAGAAATATTTCTACATTTCTAGAAATGCTTCCGACTGTTGATATTTAAGAAACTATTGAAATGGTGGCAAATGTCAAGCATTGTCCAAAAGCGGTGGAATAACTAATAATTCCACCAATTATGTACATGCATATGCTGCTTCCCCAACACTGTCATCAGAGAGTTGTTTCTAGACGATCTTCGGGCGTGTGTGAATAGGGAGAATGCAATTGCGTAACATTTTGCACACTCATCGGCATATTCAGAACCACACGCCCCAACGACCATACAAAATGCTCCCCAGAGTTGAAATCTTTAACCAAACTTGGAAGGGATTTCCACCAAACTGCAAGTGATTTCCATCGATTCTCTTCATCGACTTTCTGTTTCGTTAATAACTCGACGGCAAACACATTCATTGATACGTTTGTTGTTCTGGATGATAGAAGAGCATAGGAAAAATAGTGCAAAATAGCTTAGTGGAGCCATAGTCATCAAAAGAGGAAATCGATGAAGAGAATTGACTTTCACTTCACACCTCTGCTTCTAAGCCCCTTAATTCACTCGTCGTCATAGCAATGAAAACTAGCATCGCACCGCTTTTGGTTCTTGTGTTACACTTGCTGGTTGCAATTCTGCTGTTCGACATTTTCGAAGGACCACCAAAAAACGTGAAATTACACTATTTTCTAGGGATGCCTAAAAGTCAAACAATTAATCGTAAAGATTTTTCAATATTTTTCGAATTTTCATTTTTATTACTCTTTATTTGTTTCAAAATCAAAATAAATTACATTTCATTTTAACCTAGGTGCTCCAGTTGCTACCCAGTTAGGAATTTCGTTTCGAACTAAATACAGAATAGGGGTGATAGTCATACTAAAGAGTATACACATAGAGAACCCAGCGCAAATTCCTATTCCTACACAAAACAAAAACTCCTGCTGCAGTTAACAAATAACATTTATTATATAAGACCACGTAGTCCTACGTCACCATTGCTTACAACCCCATAGGGCTAGTGGCAAATATGAACTGGAGAGTGTGCGAAGAGTACACCCATAGTGACCATCAGGCGATCCGGTACAGTATCGGTGAACGGACACCGGTGGAAATGCGGAGGACGAAAGTAAGCGAGCGGAAGTGGAAGACGAAGGCATTCAATAAGGATCTCTTCATCGAAGCTCTAAGGGTAGACAGCAGCATCCTGGGTCTAAGCGCGAACGAGTTGACCGAATCATTAGCAAGGGCATGTGACAGAACTATGCCGAACAGGCGGCGTCCAGCTTACTGGTGGAACGAGGAAATTAGCACCCTCCATGCTAGTTGTCTTCTAGCCAGAAGGCGCGTTCAGAGAGCAAGAACGGAAGCAGACATAGAGGAGCGCATGGTGGTGTTCCGAGAGGCCAGGGCTGCACTAAAACGAAAGATAAAGCTGAGCAAGTCAAACAGCTTCAAGGAGCTGTGCCGTGATGCCGATCCCAACCGAGTCGCGATGGCGAAGATCAGAGGTCCAAAGATGCCAGTTGAAATTTGTCCCAACATGCTGAAAGTCATTGTGGAGGGACTTTTTCCAGAGCATGACCCAATGACCTGGCCACCTACACCATATGGCGAGGAAGATGGAGACAACGTTGAACAAGTCTCCAACGAAGAACTTCTAGCAGCAGCGAAAGGGTTAAAGGCGAAGAAAGCTCCTGGCCCGGATGGAATTCCCAACGTGGCGTTGAAGACGGCGATCCAGACGTTCCCGGACATGTTCAGGATAGTACTGCAGAAATGTCTGGACGAGGGTCAGTTCCCTGATAGGTGGAAGGTACAAAAGCTGGTGCTGTTGCCGAAGCCCGGAAAACCGCCGGAAGATCCTGCATCGTATAGGCCAATATGCTTGCTGGATACTGTCGGAAAGCTCTTGGAGAGGATCATCCTGAACAGGTTGGCGAAATGCACGGAGAGTGAACACGGATTGTCGGAGAGGCTCTTCGGATTCCGTAAAGGGAGATCGACGGTAGATGCAATCCGGACAATGATTGACAGAACCGAGAAAGCTTCCAATCAGAAGTGGAGAGGAAATCGATACTGCGCCGTGATTACGATTGATGTGAAGAATGCATTCAATAGTGCCAGCTGGGAGGCCATCGCCAAGGCGCTCCATAGAATGAGAGTTCCAGACTACCTCTGCAGGATTCTAAGCAGTTACATCCAGAACCGGGTCCTGGTCTACGAGACAGACACGGGGCAGAAATCGCTTAGAATCACGGCGGGATTTCCACAAGGCTCCATTCTAGGTCCCACGCTGTGGAATGGAATGTACAAGGGCGTGCTGACGCTCAAGCTGCCCAAAGGAGTTGAGATCGTTGGCTTTGCGGACGATGTCGTCTTGACGGTAACCGGTGAGACGCTGGAAGAAGTGGAAATGCTGGCGGCCGAGGCGATAGATACGATTGGTAGCTGGATGCAAGGAGCGAAGCTGCAGAAGTGATGTTGGTCAGTAACTGCAAAGCAGTGCAGCGGGCAGAAATCACCGTTGGAGAGCACACCATTGTTTCGAAGCGCGTGCTGAAGTATCTGGGAGTTATGATCGACGACCGGCTAAACTTTAACAGCCACATCGAATATGCTTGCGAGAAGGCGGCGAAGGTCATCAACGCAATAGCCAGAATCATGCCGAACATTTCTGGTCCAAGCAGCAGTCCTCATCGATACTAAGGTACGGAGGTTCAGCCTGGATTGAAGCGCTGAAAACGAAGCAGAACCAAAGGAAATTGAGCAGTACATTCCGGCTCATGGCCATGCGAGTCGTGAGTGCGTACAGAACCATTTCGATGGAGGCAGTATGCGTTATCGCCGGTATGATCCCAATCGGCATCACCTTGGCGGAGGACTACGAGTGCTATATGACGAGAGAAACCAGAGGAGGGGTCGATGGCTAAGTGTCAGCAGGAGTGGGATGCAACAGAGAACGGTAGATGGACACAGGCTAATACCGATTCTTTCGACCTGGGTGAACAGGAAGCATGGAGAAGTCAACTTCCACTTGACGCAGTACCTGTCTTGTCATGGGTGCTTCAGGAAGTACCTGCATCGGTTCGGACACACAACGTTACCCTTCTGTCCGGAGTGTGGGAATGTGGAAGAATCACCAGAGCACGTGATCTTCGAATGTCCTAGATTTGATGCTGTGCGAGAGGATATGCTCGCCCTTAGCGTGGAGAACGTCGTCGAAGAAATGTGTCGAGAGGAGGGCACCTTTAACGTCGTCAGCAGAGCAGTAACGCAGATCATGTCAGCGCTGTATGCATTGAAAATGGCGAGAAGACCAACTAGAAAGTAGTAATGTGCTCACAAAAGTGCGAAGTGAAAGCCGAAGCCGGGAGAACTTTCCGTCAGAGTAGGCTGAATCCACCACCGGGGATAACCGAGTAGAACGTGATGCTGGGAGCTAAATGGCTCACAAATTGGAGAGACGATCAGCGACCTGGAAGCGCCAGTTAGCTGAGGTAAAGTGAGTTGCGTAATGCACGGCCCCCTCCGAAGTAATACGACAAGTGGTTCCGTGGGAAAAGGGCAAGGCGTCCAAGGAGATTTTAGTGCGGTAAGAATCCCACACACCGTGTCACCACGACTGTGCGCCCAGTCGTTAAGCGGTGGCACGATGGCCTTTTGAAGGTTTCCTCTTTGCAAAAAAAAGAAAAAAGAAAATAGGGCTGTCTCTTGTAGTTTTTACTTTGTATGTCTTGTTGATAGTGACAACACTCGGTTTTGTCCACCGAGGATGATCTTGAAACAAGGAAAAAATGAGTTAAGACTAGGATTCTGATGCATGGTCATTATCGGTGTTATTGCTTGATTTTGTTGCTAAGGAATCCGTTTTTGACTGCAAAAGAGGCGCGCCTTTGGAGGGTGTTCCAACAATCATTTTACAATTAAGAATCATTTGTCTAGATCATGTTAAAACATATCTTGATGTTTCACCCCTTATTTGCTCATTTGCAAGCTCGCTGATTTCATACACGACTATAGAGCGACAATAGTATATTCTAGAGTTTAACTTAGAAGGACATAAGGAAGTCAAATCTGGTAAAACTTTTCTGTCGTAGCAAGTTGTGTTGCAAATTAATATGAAATTAATCTAAATTGAATAAATTGCTCATTTACAATATAGAATAAATTTGTATGCTCAACGCTCACTACCAAATCCAATTTTATTTTTCAGATTGTCGAATCCTACTCGCCGGAGATGCGCGCTCAGCTGCTTCAGTTTGTGACCGGTTCGTGTCGGGTACCGCTGCAAGGTTTCCGTGCCTTGCAGGGCTCAACGGGGGCCGTTGGGCCTCGGTTATTCACGATTCACCTAACGGCGGATGCACCGATCCAAAACCTTCCCAAAGCGCACACCTGTTTCAACCGGATCGACCTTCCCATGTACGACTCGTACCAGCTGATGTACGATAAACTGACGCAGGCCGTTGAGGAAACGTGTGGATTTGCCGTGGAATAAGCGCGGAGTAATTCATTTAGGAAGTCGACCAATTTTATCATACGTTAGGAAACAAGCTGTTCATCACCTGGATGAGATCGGAACGAATCAAATGGGCTGATTTTTCCTCTTTCTCGTGTGCGGAAGAGCGACTAATAAGACCGGTTAGGAGAAAACGCCGCGCCACCATTCTCCCATCGACGAGACTTGGGATAGGTCTGCCGATAGATCATTCCCACATTAGCTCGAATCGAGAAGTCAACCCGGGGGAGTGTTTATTACGTACCAACTTTATAATGCTATAACAAAATTACATAGAAAAACAAAATAAAGTCCAAGTGTTCTAACAATCGTACAATTTTCCTTACTGTTGGGAAGAAATTAACTAATAATCAAATATTGCCGAATCAAACATAAATCAGTAGTGAACCGAAAATAGCTAACTAAAAAATAAAGGAAAAAAAGAGGTGTTTCCACTAACCATTGTTAATCCATGATACGATCATTATAGCTCAAAAGATTTAAAAAATATTTGTCCCAATATGCAATTTTAATCAGAGGAGGAGGATTTTGTAAAACCCGATAACAAACATTGTTGACAACATTGATCGATTTTATAACAAATTATGGCATTGAGCCCCATTTTTGGCGAAACGATAATGTTTGGATTTTTTTTTAGGAAATGAAAAGTCGAAAATCGAAACAGTTTACTACAACTGCGTGATATTTAGCAATTTTTAAATTTGCATCGAAAGTTTTATGTACGAAAAACAAATATTGAGATTATTATTCATTAGTACGCAAAAGATATCGGTCAAGTGGTTCAGAAAATCAGAACGAAAAACGTGTTTCTCCCTTTTTATTGGTCTAATACAGTGTAGGTAGTCGTCGTCCAAATGTTTAAATATGTTAGTAATTCTAACAAGTAAAGATGCGCCACAAATAAAAGTATTTATTGTAGGAAAAAAAATGTTTAACGATTTTGACCATATATTCAATCCTTCCTTCCTTCAAAGCCCAGTCAAGTTGAGCGAAGGTAGATTTTTGTCGCAATGATATTATATCTAATAGGGATTTGTTGATAATTAACATAAAACACACATCAGGAATGATCAGACGCTGTGTTGGCTGGTATGAAACGAGAATAAACAAACTAATCGTCCCCTTTTTCTTATTGACTATTCTAGGATTATGTTTCGATCCTTTTTCCTCTGTACATACACATTGTAATAGGTACCTATACATAGTTAAACGAAAGAATTATTGTACATCTACTTTACAACGAAGCAGTTGAGTAGATTCGAATATGTACCCCTATTCCCCTTTTTCATACAGCTAGGCATATGTTCAATGCGATAGGACTTACCCATACAATATTCACATATGAGAAGCGAATCCAATATTTAGGATGATGGTAGTTAGACTTATTCGATTTGTTTTATTTTTTCCTGTCGCGAAGTGTTATTCGCTGTTCGTCTGCGCTGTTCTCTCGGTACATCGGCTATTGTTTGTGCGTAAAGGACAAGGAGAAGAAAGGCTTGAAACATGTGATTGTATGAATTGCTAAGGTAAACTAGAACAGTGTTAACAGCGCAAAACGATAGGAAGCTAATATCGGTCAGCATGTAATCGGTAGGTAGTAGATAAACAAGAACCACAACGTATATATTATTTGTAAATTATACTAAAACATTTTATACAGTTATACATCCATATTGTGTAAATTGCTCATATCACATTGATTCCTTATACTGAACTTCCCATCCTCAGTCATCGATATCTGCACGGCTACGTTGAACTTCGTCGAATCTGCTGTCATCAAGCTGAGGTTTTCCCAATGTTTCTAATGTTCATAACACTTAGACTCATCATTCAACATCCATTGTCATGGCGATGCAGAGATTCGTAGTCTTCTAAATCATGGAAACAGAGATCCCTGATCATCTCGGCTTGGTCACTCTGCTGAACGAGATGATACGACGCATCCGATGGTCCAATTTGCAACTTCTACACGCTGGTCCTCAATTGCTACTTTGTGCTGTTCGCTTACCGTTCTGATCACTAAGCTGGACGAAACGTTGCTAGGAACATCATCGACCGATGGGGATTTTTTCTCTTTCGTGCATAGAACTGGTTCAGCAAACTCTTTTAAACTCAGAATTTCAGCCCATGTAGCTTAGTCTATAAGGAACAACTTTGCTGAAAACATCATCATGATTGAAGTTAGTATAATTTGGTATAATGGAGATATTCATTCTTGAATTTATGTGTATTTTGTTCGTATAGGGGGAGGATGGGCATAGTGAACAGGTGGGGCAGAGTGAGCATCCCGCAGTTTGGCTCTGGATCTCGAGCTGCATGAAACAATTCAGCTAGTAGTAGGTTCAATATCATTATGATATTGATCCTACCTACCACCAACCAATTTGTTCCGGAAGTCCAAGCTGGTGCACGGGATGTTCAATATGCCCCTCTTACCCCTGTATTGCAACAAAATACAGGCAGCTTATGCAACGTATCAACTAGATTACCACTAAAAAAAATAAAGGTTCATATTTCCCACAGGCCAAAATCCAGGTTCGTGTATTTTGGTGCGAACTGGCAGGAACTGCCCTTCGCTGCAGCAACGGGAAGTCGGTGGGACCCGACGAAATCGGATATCCTCTACTCAAGAGGCTACCGGTACCAGGACAGCTACGGATGCTAGACCTCTTCAACAAGCTCTTTCTCACTAACGGGTACCCAGCAGTATGGAAGGAAAGCTTGGTAGTTCCCATCCCGAAAGCCGGGGTAGCCACCCGTGAAGTCAGCAAGTTCCCTTCAATAGCGCTAACATGTTGTATGGCCAAAGTCCTAGAGCGTATGGTCAATCGAAGACTGAAGCAACACCTCGTAGCTGGAAATTTCCTTGATCACCGACAAGGTTTCGGAACGTCCACCTATTTCGCAACCCTAGGGGAAGTTCTCAAGAACGCCTACGACAGTGGTCTGCACACCGAGATAGTATCGCTCGACATATCGAAGGCCTTCAACAGAACGTGGACGCCCCTCGTCCTTAAGCAACTAATCGACTGAGGTCTTAACAGACCCATCGTTCACTTCATCCAGAACATCTTGTCCATCCGCTCATTCCGAGTTTTGCTTAGAAGCTTGTGCCATCAGCCACCAGATGGGCTAGTATTTTTTTTTATTTGAACATAGTTGATTTTGTGTGCAATATGATCTTTGACAGTGTGCAAAGAGTGTATCATTTTGTCATTTTTTTATGCATTTCAGTTAAGAGTAGAGTGAAAGAGATAGAATCAAAACATTCTAGTACATTTAGTGTTGCCATGTGGTACAATCCATTAGTAGTGTTGCCATGTGGTACACTGAAAAACTGCAATAGCAGGTGCGTCACCAAAGTTTTCGAGCCGCTCCGTCTGTCACTTCGTTTGTGCTGTCAGGTTCGCGTTCGGATTGGCAAATCAAAGTTGGCACTCGTGGAGAATAGAAGAACTATGAAAGTGATGATGGTTTCAGAATTTTCCACGGGGAAGTATACAAGTGCAATCTTAAAATGCTTTTATTTTGAACATGGAGCATTTTATTTAAATCTGGTTACTGCTACAGTGGTAGAAAAGCGGAAGTATATGTTTACACCTAAAAATCTGAAAATAAATTATGTTTTCTGTATTATATGTCTATTGAGTAGTCCTGAAGTTTTCTACTAACGTAGCACTAACCAGATTTAAATAAAATGCTCCATTCACAAAATAAAAGCATTTTAAGATTGCACTCGTATACTTCCCCGTGGAAAATTTTGAAACCATCATCACTTTCATAGTTCTTCTATTCTCCACGAGAGCCAACTTTGATTTGCCAATAGTCACAGTCAGCGATTTTGCGACTCGCGAGCGCTCACTCTGAGTGAACGCTCACCAATCGTAGAATTTCTGATTGTGACACTCGGAGAGCGGAATTGACGGGTTTCGTGTGTCGGGCACATGCTTTGAAACCTCTGCTTTTAACTTGTTGGTACAACATATCATAGAAACATCTAATGATTTCATAATTCCGAGAAAAAAAAACATTTTTTTATGCCAAGTGAGTGGAAGCAACTCTGTAAGTAACCAATGCATGCGGCTCACACTTAACTTGTTCTATTTCTTTCTTCCATGGGCCTTGTCCCATGTACTAATATTAACCTATTAACTGCCTGAGGACAAATGGGAACATGACACACGACCAGAAGTTCAATAGGAGGAAAGCAGCGAAAAAGTTTGAACAAGAAAAGAAGAATTAAACTTGCACCGGCAAGAGGAAGCAGACAGAAAGGATCATGCCGGTTGGAGACAGCCAATGTATACTGGACGAAGCTTGTATCTAGGAAAAAGTAGTATGTGCAGGAAACCCAAACGTATCAAATGATCCCCAATGGAAATTGTTGCTGGCAGCCGAAAAACAATATAAAAATAAAAATAATATACCTACAACCGACAATATCACTGCAAGCAAGCGTGTGAAGCATGTGAATCAAATTCATCAGTACGTCACAGCAAAGGCACAGGGGCTTATGGCAGCAAAACCCCAACAAGGAAATCAAGCAAGCCAATAGGAATTTGACCAGGGCCCAGGTCAAGCAACCGCTCAGAATGGAGGTTTCTCATGTTGGACCTCTGCACCTCTGGAGGTTCCCAGGATACTTGAGTAAGTGAGCACGTGAAGAGGGACGCTAATTTGATAGTAGGATTAGCTGGCGCATTTAGTTTGAATTTTGTATGGGGATTTTAGATAAAATACATGAAAAAATTACACTCCTACACTCTATCGATCATAAAAAAGTTTCCTTATTCTCGATTTGATTCAGATTTTCAAAACTTTTAGTTCAATTAATGAGTAACACTTTGCTGAAGATTGGATCATGAAACCAGTTAGTTTTATTGAGACATTCGCTTTTGAATGTATATAAGTATTTTGTTATTGTTATTGCTCAGCTCACACCCTGGCCAACTATCGCCCGCCCATCTGCATTTAAGTATGAACCTGCGGAAATTTTGGTCGTGGCCTATGCTAGACCGTATAGCATAACGATTTTCTTCCACCAGCAGGCCGTTGCTCCCGTAGGCAGTCCCGCTAGCTTCAGATTTGTAGGGGATAGTAAGAGAATAAAAGAATAGAGAAGAGCGATAGAGTAGGGAAAAAATGCCTCTAATGTTGGGCTATGAATCTAAGATTGGGCCCATCGCTAAAAATCTGCTATTTATTAATTGTATCTAGATGAACGCGTCATTGGGACAGTACTAATGGATATTTTTGGTTGCTATTGAAAATTTAGTCGATTGCTGAATTTATGTATGGACCCAAATTAGGGACACTTAGGCCGACATTACATACATTTCCCCTATTTGTTGTTTTTTTTTTCTGAAAAGAGAAGAACAAAAACAGCACGCCGACTTGTTGTGCTGCATGAGCTATGTCCGCTTTCATTCCCGCTCCTGCGGGTTACGTCCCTCTTCACGTGCTCACTCACTCAAGTATCCTGGGAACCTCCAGAGGTGTAGAGGTCCAACATAAGAAACCTCCATTCTGAGCGGTTGCTTGACGTGGGCCCAGGTCAAATTCCTATTGGCTTGCTTGATTTCCTTGTTGGGGTTTTGCTGCCATAAGCCCCTGTGCCTTTGCTGTGACGTACTGATGAATTTGATTCACATGCTTTCAGAGAATGTTTTTTTTTTCACATAAAGGCACAAATATAGAGGTTGGCCCGTGGAAAATAAAAACTTTTATTTTTGTGGGCCAGTCTAATGTAGATGGAACGGAGGTACAAGCAACAATCAATACGAAACTAACGATTTTAAATTGGCTCACCACTTTAGTAGCCTATTGGTCCCAAGCAAACGATTAACGTACCCTATTCTAGTCGAAATTCTAGTACTACGCAATGTTTGTTTTGATTCGCTATGAAAGTTTGACAGATAAAATGAGGGGTTATTGGTTTTTCCTATGTTTCGAGGGGTGATTCGATAAGCTTGGGACCGAAGATAGTACCAGAGGTGAGCCAAAAAGTCGAGCACGTTTCTTCGGGACCTACTTGTCTTAGAGTTATCTCTATGGTACAAGGGCTTCTTTTGAAATAACCTTTCTTTGCTTCGAGTTCTACAGAAGATAACATTTTTTTTTAGTTTATTCTCATACTTTTCAGAAGATTTCTATTGTTATCTTAAAATCATAGTCAACACAAGACGACAATAATTATTTTAATTTTTTTTATTATGCCTAAAAGAATTCTTCGCACGCGAAGTTGAAATTACGCGCCTTCTAATGTAATTCAGAATAATTGCAATGCAGGCTTCTAGCTTAGTTTATGTTTAAGAATTATTCATTCCTATGTAATGGTTTATTATCCATTCTCAGCTGGATATAACCTTGGATATTCTTATTTTCTAAATTTTATAATATATTACTATTGTTGAGTTTGCTAGTTTCTCATGCCTCCAGATGCATTCCCTTTTATCTTGTGAACATTTTCAATGCGACGCTTCGTACACGGAGTGTCGCATAGAAGAGGGACCAGAGGTTCCGATCGTTTCGATCGGATGAGTGGATTCCGATAGCGGTGGATGTGGACCACTTCGATATCCGTCTCGACGGGGTTTCTTCATCAAGCCACTCGGGGATAACCCGGGCATTCCGGGCTGTTGCGGTGGTAGATGAGGATGCGATGGCAGTGGCGACGAATGGTGCTGATGATAATGGTGACTGTGGTGATGATGCGATCGCATATGAGGCAGAATATTCGGAGGCATGGGCACCGGTCGGTACATACCGGAACCGGCACCGGATGCAGGAGGTGGTCCACCGTGACTGTTCATATTGTGATTCGGATTAAGAGTAGAATTATTGCCACCATTTGATGGTGGTGTCGCTGGAGGATACGCTGAAGGCGGCATGCTAGAGCCACCACTAGAAGGCGTACCCGAAGGTGTAGAATTGCTGCTAGAAGGACGAAATGGCAGCATCGGCGGAGCGTCGCGAAAGTCAATCATCTGCACCGGGGGTGGATTAACGCAGCGAGGCTGCGGGCGCTCGGGTGGCGGTGAACCGGGTGGGGGCGGAGGAGGTGGCATGCTTTCCAGCTCTGGATCAACTTGTTCTTTTTCTTCGAGATTAATATCCTAAAAATAAGTTAAATCATTCATTAGCGAGACCTAATACGCGTTGGGATGGTTGTTTGGTAGTTTTCGACTTACCGGTAGCTTCAACCGATCGATCAGACGCTTCTTACCGGTTGCTTTCAATGTCCGTTTCCGGCGCAGTCTCTTGCGAGTCTTCGATGCGGAAATTTTGGCGGGCGACCGAAGTGCTTCAGCACCCGAAGAAGATGATTCGTCACCAGGTGCTACGCCATCCGCGAACAAAACCTTTTTCCTAGCGACGCTGTGAAAACAGTAGAGGAAATTAGGTCAACGCGAAATTTTTTTTATAGCAAGTGACATCTACTAACCATGCACCGGTCTTGGTTCGTAGAATACTCTTGTCGTAGACTCGATTCAGCGAAGAGATCAATTCCTGATGTTTGACGGCGTCGAAGTCCTCATCGGAAGAGGAAACATTTGCGACAGAGGCAGTGTCCGCTAGCAACCGCTTGACCTCCATTTTGAGCTTTTCTTTACGCATCTTCTTCTCCATGCGTTTCTTCTCCCGTTCGATGCGAATTTTCTTCTTCAGCTCGAGTCTTCGTTCATGGCGGAGTTTCAGTTCCTCGGCTGTAAGGATCTTGGGAGTGACAAGGATAAGAGATGTCGGTAGTGGTAGCGTTAAGGGGGTAGCTGAAGGTGATGGTTGAACGGCGAAGGAAGAGGATGGAAGTGAAGGAGGTTCCACTGGAGTTGGAGGGGGAGTAATCTTAACGGGTTGTGCTTGTGAGGGAACAGCGGTTGGAACGATCTCAAGCATGTTGCCTACCTGTTTGACTAGGCTTTTTGTGGATTGTTCTACCGGAAGTGGCGGAGGTGGAGTTGAGACGTTTGGATTATGATGGTACATATTGTTTTGATAGAGGTTGACGTGCGAAGGAATAGGTTGCATTGGAGGATGCGGGCCACGCTGCCAATTTTGTTGAGGTCCACGAGGCCCTGGATAGAATGGAGGACGTGGGCCTTGATTGAAACCGTAACCAGGTGGGCCGTGAGGTGCTTGCGGTCCTGGTGGAACACCGTGATGATATTCTTGAGGATAGTTAGATGGGAAATGTTGTGGATGGGGTGGATGTCCCATTGGGTGAGGGGTGTTTATAGTTCCGGGGAACGGAGTTGGGTAATGTTGATGTTGCTGCTGCTGCTGCTGCTGAGGCGATTGTCGTATGTCATGGTGCACAGTTTGAATCGGTTGATAGTCACCGTAGTTGTCAGCAGGTGGTGGTTGAGAAGTAGTTTCAATCCGTTTGGGTATTTCAGTGCCATTCATTCCTAACACGATGTTGATTCGATCGTCCAGCGGTATTCGTTTGGGAGAATCTCCACCTTCTGGTCCTTCTAGTACCATGTCTTGGGGATCGTAGAAACCGTACGTTTTGGAGTACACATTATTATAAGCAGAACTTTCACTGAATACTGGAGTTTTTCGTTTCTGATTTTCCAACTCAGCATCGCTAATGGTTGAGTCAGCCAAGCTTTTCTTGTAGCCTGTGACAGGGGATTGATCATCGGGAGAAGGAAAAGGCCCGGCACCGGAGCTGGTGACCACATCGATTTGATTCTCGGTAGGTGGCTTCTCCTTCGGTGATGGAGGTCGCTGATAGTAGGGCGATCTGGAACGCCTCCACTCGCGATCGGCTGAATACCTTCGAGGACTTCGTTCTGCAGGCGGGCTAGGAGGTCTCCGCAACAATGCGGGACTTAGGCTACGTGACCTGGAGCGTGTTCGCCGACGTCGCGATGGCGGTGGACTTCTAATTCTCCGCAGCGGTGGATTTCGCGACTGATGGGCTCGATCTTTCCTTCGTTCTCGATCTCTATCCTGAGCGACTAGCTTCCTACCAGGACTTCGTTCCTTGGATTTGCTACGACTTCGACGATCTTTCGAACGCCGCTTCTTCGGAGCAGCGCTTCTATCCCGCACTCGCTTAGGACTACGATCTTTAGACTTTCGCTCTCGAGAGCGTCTGCGTTCGTGATGATCCTCTTTCGATCGAGATTTCTCCCTGTTTGGTTCCGGAGGTTTGACAGAACCTTCTTTAATCTGTTCTGCAGTTTCTTCCTCGTCTTCAGGACCCAACAAGGCAGATGTATTAACCGCAGGAATAATTTTGTTTTTAATCGGGAGTTTAAGTTTGAAGGGTGAACTACGATCAGGATTTAACGGTTTAATAGCACTACTGATCGACTCTTGACTACTGATTGATTCTACCATAGAATCATCCCGAATGTTATAGATCTTGGAAGGTGCCCCTAGTGGGATCATTGGTGTTTTCACCTTCAACAGCAGATGTTCCGGAATGATAAGTGGTTGTGGCTTTGGAGGCGTAAACTCCGGTACCGTCTCGGGTTTATGTTCAGGTTCAGGCTCCGGGCCCATTTCGCTATCCTCATCCGGCTGGAGCAGCTCACTGGCCAGTGTTTCAATGTCTTCAAGTGGAATTATCGGTTTGATGAGCTTCTTCTTTTTCTTCTTGACAATAATTAGCTTCTTTTTCTTCTTATTTTCAACCTTCTCTTCATCAGAACTATCGGATGAAGAGTCGGACGAACTGGAACTGGAACTTGAGGACGAGCTTGACGAACTGGAATCAGAACTTGAACTGGAACTCTCAGACGTACTACTGGTGCTTGTTGTTGTGCTGGAGGAAGCTCTTCGTTTCCCCGGTTTCTTCTTTTCAGCTGCGATATCGTTTATTTCTGCTTTGTCGGCTCCAGTTAGATTCGTTTCCTTTTGTGGATCTAATAACTGGATGAAGTTTTCGTACTCACTGGCAAGCTTTTCCGGAACATTGTCTCCAACAATAGCGGGTAACTTGGCTTCTTCTAATTTGGCAGCATTTTCCGCTTGTTCCGCTTGCTCCATTTTCGATTTCATAGATTGCAACTGACTTTGTATGTTTAGCAAATCATCCAGAGGAATAATTTGCTCATGACTGCTCTTCGGAATTAATCTCGCACGTTTGCCATCATCATCCGCAGTGGAAGTTTTTCCCAAATCCTTGGTCGGACTTCCTACTGACGTTTTACTGTTGGCTATCAGCGGGCTAAACTCATCATTCTCCCAGTTAGAAGCGTAATCATCGGTATCTGGAGAATCGGTTTCCCTTCGGTTGCGATCTTCCAGTTCCAGCTTTTCTAAATTACCGATGGATTCCGTAGTGATAGATGTCTTACTCAAATCATCCAAGAAAGAACAACTGAATTTGGGTCGGAACCCTAAAGACGAATCTTTTGGTTCTAGACTTTTGTCTGCTTCAGGAATTGCAACTGTTTCCGGCACTATTTCAGTTGGCACTTCTACGTCAGGTTCGCTCACAGTTGTCAGGAAGACTTCCTTTTCATTTCCAATCTCTTTTTCCTTCTCTTCGTCTGTCAGAGGTTCCTGTTTAACGATACTGTAATCGATTTCGATCTTCTGGAACTGTAGCTCATCCCTTTCGTCCAGCATCTCTAATTTTATCCGTTTGATAATCTGTTCTTCCTCTTCTGCCACGTCCGGTTCCACCTCTGGCAGTGGAACATCCATTTCCGTGTCGGAACTATGTTCCGTGTGAACTTCCTCCAATTTCTTTGTCTTCTCTTTTTTCTTCTTCTTTTCCGCTGGGGATTTCTTCCGTTTCTTCACTTCCTTGCGCTTCTCTTTGGGTTTCTTCTTTTGAGTGGAACCATTTTTCGACTTTTTCACGTCTTCTTTATCCTTACTTTTGCTTTTGACCTTATCTGAATGATTTTTCTTTTTCTTTGATTTCTTCGCAACGGACGAAGATTTCTTCTTTGAAACCTGTTCATTTTCCGTGTCTGACGAGTTATTATCATCGTCGCAGGCTTGCAGTGCCGCAATTGCCGGCGTTATAGGAATCGGACGAATTGGAGTCTTGCTAACAATCCGTTCTCGCCAACCGATTACCGGAAGACTAGATGTATACTTGATTACTGACAGGAACACGGGAGACAGTTCGTTACGCTTCTTTGCAGGGGTGATACTACGATTGCGGCGAGTATCAGATCGTCCAAATTGATCCACAGATCCACCCGAGAGCCTATCCTTAGAACGCACATCCAATGACCCTTCTTCGGACATTTGCCTGGGCATACTTTTTTTACGATCCAGATCCCTAGCCTTCCCAATTGAAGAAGAGAATCCCCTATTATCATCTCGCTTCTTTTTGTCACGCTCCCTGGATCGGGATTTTCTGTTCTTATTCCGTTTATATCGTTCCTCGCTCTTCTTCCTTCCATCGGTGGCAGCACCTTTAGGAACATCCACTTTACTACGTACTGATTTTGATTTGGATTCTGCACGTTTTTTACGATCGTCCCTTGAAAGACTTCGATCTTTACGGTCCTTACGCTTATCGCTGTCCCTGACAGCGCTTTTTCTATCCTTTACTTTTTCCTTATTTTTTTCGCGCTCCTTCGAACGATCTCCGTCACGATCTTTGTGCTTCGCCTTCTTATCCTTCTCTTTCTCTTTATCTTGATCCTTTTCCTTTGTTTTGCCCCTGGTTTTGCTACGTTCCTGTTCCCGGTCCTTGCTTTTAATGTGCTTGGACCGATCCGGTTCCGTCTGGTCTGACTTGCGTTCGGGTGTGTCCTTTGCCGGTGACTTACGGGATTTATCAGGTTTAGTTGACAATTCTGAAAATAAAAATAGGGATATAAATATTTAGCGTTTTTAGCCGTTAACATTTTATAATTCCACGTTATTCTCGTTTACTTTTTTATTTTTTTCTAAATTCATAATGAACTTAAATACTGATGTTTAAAATGTGCATTTTTTGAAACCTGCGAGTGGAGAATGGTACGCAACTAGTAGGTTAGTATACTGCTGTAGCGGTATTCGAATTAGATATTAAATTAATGTAGCATGAAGTTCAAATGCTACAAATGTTCACTGTTACTATTCGAAACGACACGTACTATTCCAGTTCACTTGTATGCAACTGGTGAACTCATATCAAGAGTAAATTATCCCTGCATGAAATTTCACTCATTATTTGTTCATCCGCTCACTAGGCGCGTAAGTTTTCTCATTGGAGGTGGCATGAAATTTGATCCGTGGGATTGAGTATAATCTCCCAGTAGGATTACTTGTCGTCGGAAATTTAATAATAAGAAAAACACTTTAAGTTAAAGATTGGAATGAGCTAGACAGATGTGGGATACTTGGGAGGAAAAGAGATAGTATCTCTGATCGAATCGGAAGGTAATCGGAGATCGCCTTTTGATAAGATCGTTTTTTCGGTTTCCGGAACGAAGGCCAAGAATTGTTTTAGCGGCCTTTCTGAGGAATCCCAAGATCTTTCTCGTCCACTTTAATCCAACCCGTGGAAGAGGCAGGACTGTGAAGTTTTTTGGTATAGTTTCGCGGTGTGTTTGTAGAGGTATATTTAAATGTGAGAAGTGTCTTTAAGTTCAGTGTAATTAATTGTTCGTTAATTCCTTTTGATTAGGTGTAGTTACTACTGAATAAGTTTAGTAGGCTAGTGCGGTACTGTGCGCGATTTAAGTTTCAACAAAAAGGTAAATGATTTACTATGCGGTTTTGCAACAATGCGCTCATCCAGTTGTATAGCCGTTTGACGGCTTTTTGTCTCTAGTTTCGTCCCACCACCTCCCGCTCGGCATACCGCGCCCCCCGTTATTACCACTACCCTGACCCCACGCGTCGGTATTAAAGGACCTAACTTCGGCCGGAGTTAGAAGGGAGCTGCGCCGTCAATATCGCGCTCCAGGTGAGCAATTTTCCCACCCACCGGGATATCACCACGAAAAGCAGTTGGTGAATTAGAGAATCAAGACTCACACCCAATTTGGTGAATCTTTTGTATTCCGGGCAGCGAGCGTCGCAGGGGCGACAGACGATGGTGAGGAGCAGTCGGTAAAGCAGAAGCGTGAGTAGAACCGTACAATGTCCGCATGCATGCATTAAATCTGGATGAAGCGCCAGTTATAAATAGCCATTTAGAAATCCGCACAGTTAGGTAGGGAATTAGAGAGAGAGAGTAAGAGAAGAATGAGGGTTCCCGGATAAAAATGTTAGATAATAAAATTTTCGTTCTATTAGTTTTTTTCTAAATAAATGTTTTTCTATTCTGCTAAATAATTGTGTTGATTGTTAGGTTAGAATTTCCCGTTCAATGAGTGCACTGGTCTAAAGAAGTTTCTCACGTTTCGTTCGTTGTTGTAGTTTTCGTTGTTTGGTTTTACTCCAAGTCGGACTGCTTGGGAATCTCAGTCCACCATTTCTGTCCTGAAGCGTGTAGATTTTGTGTTTGGGGAAGAGCTTGACCTGTGATGAGAAACAGGTCGTCCAGTGCATTCGCTCCGGTAGAAAGACGGTTTCTGGTTAGTTTTCATTCGGTTGGATTTAGTGTTTTTCTTTGAATCCCAAGTACTTAACGTCTACTAGCGCGTTCCAATCTTTTGCATTAGACTGAACTCGCCCTGGGGTTTTGAGTTTGCCGGGCATCCGAAACGACAAGTGGTCCTCTATGGAGGTGGCGCTTAAGCCATTTGTTTAAAAACCAATCCACGGAACACTCTAGTAGACCGATTTAGGCTAGCCAACTTTATGCCGGCTACATTTGGCGCCCAACTGCAGGTCTCAAAAATTTTGAGAATATTTGCGTTTTGGCAAATTGTTGATGAATAAAATTTAATATTTGGGTTAATATAAAGTGAATCGTTTCGATAGTTTACGTAGTATTGCAAAAGAAAATATTCGTTTTGTTGTGAATTTGGGAATTGTTTCGTGCGTGTTTCATCATTTTTTTTTAAAGTACCGTGAAATTTAACGGAAAATATTCAACATGGCTACCAGGTTTCCTAGAGTAGATCATTTAACCAGTGAAGAAGTGGATTACGAACTAATTATTCGTGGAAAAAAAGAAAGCACAAAAGATGAACTTAATGATAAATATCGATTACTTAGAAAGTTATTTCACGAAGATGCTAAAGGAAATAGGACTTACTTATGTAGTTACACGATGGACCAACAATATGACTATATTGCCAACAAAATTGACATGCTTGCTAGAAGATTGGAGAAAGGTCGGGACGAGAGGAGTATTTCAAGATTGAAACATTATTTGATGAGGGTAGAGCGTTGTGTGGCAGAGGATTCTAGATCTGTGATGATGCGAGAAGATTTGACAAGAGAAATTAAAGGATTTTTGTTACAATTTGACCGTAACAACCCTAGCGCTAACGAACAGAATGGACAAGAAGAGGGAGCGGTAGGTGGAGAAGTGTTACAAGACACAAATAATTTCAATGGTACAGGTGCAATTCCCAAGGAACAGGGTGGATCACAACAGACACAGAATACAAAAGATTATGAGTTCCTGATAAACCAAATTTATAAATTAGAGCAGGAATTGGCAGAAATGCGAGAGAAGCAACAAAGGCAATGTTCGCCAGGGTACCCCAATAGTCGAGGAAACTCAGAAAGAAGGTCTATGAGCAGGGAAAGGGAACAGGATTGCATGAATGGCAGAGGTGGAAGAAATCACAAGAACAATAATGAACGAGGAAATAACCGGAGCCACACTGGTAGTGAAACAGAAATAATAACAGCAGACAGGCGTATGGAGAAATGGCATCTATCATTTAGTGGTGATTCGCGTCAACGATCGTTAGAAGACTTTCTTCATAAAGTCCGTAGGCTTGCTAGAATGGATCATATAGCAGAAGATATCTTACTTCAACGTATTCACACTATTCTGAGAGGCGAAGCTTACGATTGGTATTTATGCTATTCGGAAGAATTCGCCAACTGGGAAGATTTTGAGGAACGTATTAGATACATGTATGGGAATCCGAATAGGGACCAAGGGAATCGACAGAAGATATATGAAAGGAAGCAGCAACGTAGTGAAACGTTCTTAACTTTTAAAATGGAGGTCGAGCGCCTAAACAAACTGCTTTCCAACCCATTGGATCCGGGAAGGCTATTTGAGATTATCTGGGATAATATGCGTCCTCATTATAGGTCAAGATTGGCTTGTAGAACTGTGAGAGAACTTGGCATGTTGGAATACTATGCTTACCGGATAGACGCTAACGATCCAACTCTCAAACAGCAAAGGGAAGGTCCAATCAGGCCTACCAATGCTGTACACAATATAGAAGTGACGGCAGAGGGATCTTACTCATCATGTTCGGAATCAGAGGAAGTGAACGAAATTAGGAAAAAGTTCGACAGGAATACGCGAATAAAGGAAGGAGAGAGACCGCATCCAGAACAGCGACCAAGAGTTAGCCAGGAGAATACAGAAGGAAGAACTATACCTTTATGCTGGAATTGCAGCAAAAATGGCCACCTTTGGAGAAACTGCCAAGAACCAAAGCGGATTTTTTGCTATGCTTGCGGAAATCCAGGCAAAACTACGGTCTCATGTCCCAACCATATCAGAGATCCACAACAATCAACCCAGCGTTCGGGAAACTAGATTTGGGGTGTGAAGCTGGGAACAATATCACTCCAAATACTGAAGATGTTCCCCACTCTGAACCTTTTATTGACCCATTTCTTCAAATATGTGAGGTCAAGATTCATACAGAAAGTTGCCCACATGTAAAAGTTAAAATTTTCGACCAAGAATATGATGCTTTACTCGACTCTGGTGCAAGTGTCAGCGTAACTAATATATCTGACATTGCTGAAAAACACGGCCTGAAAATGCATCAGAGCCCGTTCCGGATTGTTACAGCAGACAAGACAGTGCACGAATGCTTAGGGTATGTCCACCTACCCATAGTATTCAGAGGAGTTACTAAAATTATACCCACTCTAGTAGTTCCTCAGATATCCAGGAATTTGATATTAGGTTATAATTTTTGGAAAGTTTTTGGTATAAAACCAATGGTTTTGGGTGAAAACGGGTTTGAGCAAGTTGCGACAATGATTATAGATGAAGGACAGTCGGTCGAGACTATTGAGTTCTCGTGTTTCCCTATTGAAGCGTTACCGATTATTAAAAAAATGGAACCAGATGAGACTTTGGATATCCCAGCCTTGGAGCTTCCGGAGGCTTCCAGAACAACCCCCGATACGATCGAGACCGAACACGAACTGACGGTAGAGGAACGTAAAGAGTTAGTCAGGACTATGAAAACTTTCCCATACACTACTGAACATCGTTTAGGAAGGACATCGTTGTTAGAACACGAAATAGTGTTGAAAGAAGGAGCCAAACCCAGACGACAGCCGTTGTATAGATGTTCACCAGTGGTTCAAGCCGAAATGGAAACAGAACTTGAGAGATACCGGAAAATAGATGCCATTGAAGAGTGTGCCAGCGAATGGGCCAGCGCTCTAGTGCCAGTTCGTAAATCGAATGGCAAACTACGAGTTTGCTTGGACTCCAGAGGAGTTAACGCATGGACAAGAAAGGATTCGTACCCTATGCGAAACATGGGAGAAATCTTCCATCGCCTAGGAAGTGCGAAATACTATTCAGTAGTGGATCTTAAAGATGCATATTTTCAGATCCCTCTAAAAGAGGAATCTAGAGACTATACAGCTTTTAGGACCCCACAAGGTTTATTTCGGTTCAAGGTCTGTCCTTTTGGCCTTACCAACGCACCCTTTACAATGTGTCGTTTAATGGACCGAGTCATTGGGTTTGATCTAG